CCGAGTTATTCAACTGAATGGTAAACTCCACGGATTTGTCGTTCAAATCAAATAATAGTATTTTGATTGCATTGCCTCTCATCTGAAAGTTGTCCATTGAATGGCTTAACACAACACTCAATAGATATTTATTTAACAACTTTTTGTCGTCGTTTATCTTTTGGGCGGCTTTTCGTCGATAAATGCAGTCTTCGAGCACTTTATAGAAGACGACGAGAAACACGAGAACCCATACCAACACTCCGGCGACCAAATAATACCATTCAATGCCAAACATATCGTCAATCAATTGGATTTGTTTTGTGACAAAATTGTGATTTTGTTTACAAACCGTTAAACAAATTCAAATCCAATTAAATTTACTGTTAAAACACAAATGAATACAACAATTGCTTAGAGACTGAGATTCACTACTGTTTAGAAATGAAATATTAATTCTAAACGTTTAGTGCATTCAAAATAACTGTAGTTTTGTTCGACTATTTCTCAAAGCATTCAATACTAGTTTTAATTCAAATTAAAACAAAGTATGAAATGTTTGGACAACTAATACACGAATCGTTGTCTGTATTGCAAATATTCTGTATTGACTACAATAGCGCGTGAAGTGTGTTAAAAAATGACCATGGTTGCATTTATTCAAAATAATAGTAAAATGTAAAAATTAAGATTTGGTCTCGATGTTAATTGCATTATTAATTTAAATTGCATTATGCATTACAACTAATTATTACAATAAATTTAAATTATACGTTACTAGTTTACAGAACCCCAAACCCAAACAATTGTTATATTGAAACTAAGAACTTATTAAGTCGACTAAGAAGTGAAGAGTGTATTACAAATAGAAAACGGTTGTATATTGTGTGCTAACTTTAAATTGACTTCAATTAGCAGACAATTGGCTATTAGTGATGGGCTGTTGTAGCAGTTGTTGTGGTGGCAGTTGTGGTGACTGTTGTAGTGACAGCAAAATTGATCGCAAGAAATATCCAAATCTGTACAAAGCGTCTAAAATGACTAAAACAGCGTCCAATCACTCGAACATCAATACACAGGTCTTGCAGAAGTTGACGACTAGAGCGCAACAGAATGTGGCTAAAGCCAAGAGTTCAGGGGATGTTAAACAGATTCTGTCGCCGCCGTATAATGCGGTCGATAAGATCACAGACAATGTGTATTTGACGGGCGCTGGAGGTATGATACGCGAGAATATAGTGGGCCTCAGGATCTCATTCATTATGAACGCCACGTATGAATTGCCCAATTTTGACGTTAAAGGGCTCGAATGCATTAGAGTTCCCGTATATACTATACATTGCTATTATAATTACTCGCAATTAATAAGCATTTTTTGTATTGATTTGAAATTATTAAAAATATGTGTTTAGATTGAAGATACGGTCGATGACAACATTTCTCTCTATTTGGAAGAAGTGGCGGACAAACTGAATGAAGTGGTGTCTAAAAATCGGAGAGCTATAGTCCATTGTGTGGCCGGAAAAAGTCGCTCCTCTTCTCTGGTTTTGGGTATGTTTTATAAAAACGATTTGTTTATTAATAGCCCTTTAATTAGTTATATTTGCATTTATAACTCCATTCAAACCAAATGACAGCTTATTTAGTGAAATATCAGAAAATGACTTTAAAAGAGGCGTTCATTCATTGTAAAACTTGTCGAGATTTGTGTCAACCAAACGTTGGTTTCTGGAAATCACTCATAGAATTTGAGAGAAAAATTTTAAGAAAAACTTCCGTTCAAATGACGAGTATAACAATCAAAGGCGATAATAAAGAGATACCAGACATCTATGTGGATCTCTTCAAAGAAATGGTTTACTCGACAGCACTTGAAACCAGAGATGCGGCCAAAAAGAAGAGCATTTATGAGATGTCCGGAAGAAGTAATTTGGCCTCAACTACAGAAACTTAATGTCTAAACATTTCATTCAATCGTTTTCTCGAGAAATTGTTTTATAGAATTTTTAATTCAAATATTTTTTATTATTAAATTCAGTTGTATTTATGTTTGCATTAGAATAGAAGAAAATAAAGCAGTTTTTACAAATATTCAGTAATATTATGTACAAAATAATACAAGAATCCGTTGTCTCAGTTCATATCAATTACAGCACAGTTTATAAGATTTGAATATTGAATTGAATTGAAAATTGTTTGTTTTTGTAACTTTCGATACATCAAAGTTCTGAACACTTTTCATATATTTATTGAAAATTGAGTTTTATTTAAGAAATGGATAAAACAGTTAATGAAAACGTTTCCGATATAAATGACAATAAGAGGAAACAACAGGAGATTAAGAAACGGATATTAGAGACGACTCGGAGCGCAAAAGAGCGACAATCGGACGCTTACGATGAACTTAAACAACAGGGAAAGTCTTTACACGCCTCCGATAAAGCCGTCAATAAATTAAGACACGAAAGACAATTGGGAGACAAAGAATTGGATCAAATGAAAGACGAGCAAAATATATGTCAAAGACTTTTGTGTAATATATTCTGTTGTGGTTGTTGTCGGAAGAAGAAAAGCGCTGAGAAGTTGCCGTCAGTTTTGGTGACAACGACAGAGAGTGAAGAACCAGATCCGGACGATCAGACGGTCGACAAGTTATGGACACAACACTACAGACCGAAGACATGGAAGGAAGAGATGGACGAAAACCTGAACCGATTGCGAGCCGACGCCGAAGAAGGGGAACGAGAGCTCAAACGACAGATCAAACTCTCGGCTCAGATGAAGGCTAAGGCAGAGACAGAGACTAAAGGCTTGAAAAAGTCTACAAACGTTATGAAAGATATCAAACAAAATGATAGCAAATGTTGTATAATATTATGAAATATATGATAAACTCGTTTCCATTGGTTTCTAATTAAATGGCATTACATTTACAATTCAATTCTGTCGACTAATCATTGTCTAAATCGCTGTCAAAGGGTTGTCCCGGAAAAGGGCTGTCAGAGGATTACAATGCGAGAGAGAGAGAGAGAGAGAGAGACTTTTTGGCATTGAATTGAATCATTTGCATAGTATATGATTGAATAGTGAACACTACTCTTATAATGTACTCAAACTATATTATATTTTAAACATTTAAATTAATTACTGGTTAACTATAATGTAATCATTGGTAACAATTAAAAGCGATTCAAAGCCCATAAGAAGTGAATGGTTGGCAATTCGTGACGTAATTATTGTGCGCTTAGTTTATGACAGCATTTACTCTCCATTATTGCCGATAAAACTCTTCGTTGATCTCAAAGCACAAGACATTTGTGATTGACTTTAATGTCAATCCAATTGTCACTACATTTCAAATGAATATCTCATTAACAGTACAAACAATACACGTGTGAGGAGTGAAGTGAGAGTCGAAGCCATCGCTGAATGCCTGCGAAGACAACGGATCCCAAAACAACACGACTAATGGTAAGCCATTTGACGGCCCATTCATTGCCGACAATGACGTGAATTATATCTGAATTACGTTTACATTTGTTTTCAATTTGTTTTTGACATTCAATTAAGACTTTCATTTGTTTTTCGCTTCGCTTTAAGTATTGATTCAATTTTTGATTCAATTTTGTGTTTTGTTTTTCGCATTCATTTCTACTCTGATTTCAATGCGAAATAATTAATGAAAATTAAATTTAAAACTCATTTGTTTTTAAATGTTATACTTATTTCATATTGAATTCTGTATTGGTTTTTATGCTTTTAATGGCCTTTAATTGTCGATTCATTTCATGCGTTAAATTCAATGCAAACAACATTTTTGGGGACAAAATATTTGTGCGAAAGAGTCGACAGAATATTTGCATTCAAATCAATAGATTTGTTATTTTGAAACACAATTCCGCCGAAAATAGTTGTATAGAGTATACGATGAGAGCTATACAAAGTCCCCTTCCCTTTACATAATCTCAAATAATATAACATTTAATGTTATTTGTGTGACTAATTTAACATGTTCAATTTACTAATTGATACGTTCATATATGCAATTCCTATTGGATTAACATGAATGGTTAGATAATAATGCATAAATTAAAATAATACATTGGTGTGAAATGTAATATTTTAAGAAAATATTATCATGATCATTGATCAATATTATTAATTGTCTGAAATTGGATATTTATTTATTTATAAATTGCTTCAACTGGAATGTAGTTAAATGTTTTCATGTATTTTTAAGCAAACCTTGTTTTGAAATGTCAAACATTTTGAAAGTATTTCTTTGAATATATTTTGTTTACAACAATAAAAGTATTGAATTAATGGTATATTTGAGTAGAAAATCAATTGATTTGTATTGAAAA